GGCGGGGACGAGGGCGTGGGCGGGGGGGGCGAGTGCTGGGCAGTGTTCACACACCCCCCCCCCTTTCCCCCCACATGGGGGGAGTCAGAGGCAGGTGCCAAACCCAGGGACCCCCTGGGCATCGGGGTCAACTGTAGTCACCCCTCCCCCGAGCTCTGCCAGTGCCCCTCACTCCCGACCCGCAGCCCCCTGCTAGCCCAGCCCTGGGGGCACCCTCTACTGGGGACAGTGGGGGTGGGGCCATCAAGTCGGGGTGTTGCCTCAAGTGGGGCGGGAGGGGAGCAGCCCCCGGGTCCTGCTGCCTGGGGTCCCCGGTGCCCCTTCCCGCAGGGCCCGGCTTAGTGCAGGTTCCCCTCCCCGAGCCAGGTGCCCGGGGCAGCCGTGCAGCAGGGCTCCCAGGCACACGGCCCGGCCTGGCGCCCCCGGGCCAGCCCCACCCCATCAGGTGCCTCTGAAGATGCGGGCGGGGTGGTACCTGTGTGAGGCAGGTACCAGATACCAGCCGCAGCCTCCACCCTGGCTCAGCAGCCCAGCCCCATCCATCACACAGCCCGGGCACCGCCAGCTTCCCCGGGCCCCTGGCAGCCGGGCAGCGCAGCGCAGGGCGCCCCAGAAGTCAGATGTGACAGAGACTTGGCAGCATGTTAAATCTCACGCCAAGAAATGAGAGAGAGGCAGGGCCCAGGACTCCTGGCTTCTATTCCCAGCTCTGGGCTAGTGGTTAGAGCGGGGGAGGGGGGAGTCAGGACTCCTGGGTTCTAGCCCCAGCTCTGAGCTAGTGGTTAGAGCGGGGGAGGGGGAAGTCAGGACTCCTGGGTTCTAGTCCCAACTCTGCCCCTGACTCGCTGTGTGACCTGGGGTGACTCCCTCACTCCTTTCCGGGCCTCGGTTTCCCCATCTGTAGCCAGAGGCCAGCGGTGGGGCTGGGAAGACGCAGAGCAGAGGGTGGCAAATCGCCGGGCATGGCAGAGCCACAGGCAGGGGGCTAGTGGCCCAGCCACCCAGGAGCCCAATATCCCACCCCAGGGCCCTTGGACCGTCCAGCCCACTGGGGTCACACTGCTCTGGGGGCACAAGTTGGGCCCCCGGTACGCTGCTCTGCCCCCGCCCCACCTCCGTGAGGGGGATGGGCCCAGGGACCAGGACACACCTCCCCAGGGCCCCCGGGAGCGAGGGGGCAACACCCCCCCAGCTCGCCCCCCCCAGCCAGGAAACGACGAGCAAAGAGCAACCACTGGGCAAGAGCATGTACAGCAACCCTGACACGTGCACAACCGCTTGACACACCTCTCACAACTGCCACACACAACCATCTGACACACACACCATGCACAACCCTGACACGTGCACAACAGCCTGACACACACACACCGTGCACAACCACCACACACAGCCACCTCTCTCACATACACTCCGTGCACAACCCTGACACACACCTCTTGCACAACCACCTAATGTGTGCACACCATGCACAACCACCTGACACACACACTGCGCACACCATACAGACCTGCCTCCCCCCGACACACACACACTTGCCCCAGCAGGCACCTGGACGGGGGGTAAAACTCCCTCAGTGACCGACCCGGACCCAGCCCCAGGGTCACCAGCCCTGTGCCCCCCAGACCCTCAGAGTGGAAGGAGGAATCCGACTCTGCCTCCTCCCACGTCACTAATTATTTGCTAATTAATAAACACAATCAGCAAAGCCAGCCAACCCCCCACTCCCAACCGCCAGCCCCCGGCCAGCCCCCCACTCCACTCCCAGCCCCACAGCCAGTCCCCTCTGATACCAGCCCCCCACTTCACTCCCAACCACCAGCCCCCCGGCCAGCCCCCCACTCCCAGTCCCCCGAGCCCGGCCGCTTCCTCACCGCGTCTCCCGCGGGGCTCGGGTCGCTTCCTGCGCTGCCCGCGGGGCTCCGGGGCCGGGGATGCGGAGCTGCCGCCGGCTCCGGGCCGAGTGCGGGGCGCCCCGGGCCGCTGCCCGGACCCGCCCCGACGGGACGGCGGGGCGGGGCGGGGAGGGAGCGGTCCGGGGGGGTCCGCTCCCCGCAGAGGGGCCGGGGGGCAGTAAATGAGAGGGCGCTGGGGGCACCCCAGGGGCAGTGGGGGGTTCACCCCAGGAGTACGGGCATTGGGGAGGCAGGGAGCACCCCAGGGGAACAGGCAGTGGGGGGAGGGGCCAGGGGAGCAGGCGGGGGGTCAGGGAGCACCCCAGGGGAGCAGGCAGTGGGGGAGGGGCGGGGAGCACCCCAGGGGAACAGGCAGTGGGGAAACGGGCTGGGGGCACCCTGGGGGAGCGGGCAGGGAGCACCCCAGGGGAGCAGGCAGGGGGGAGGGGCCAGGGACACCCCAGGGGAGCAAGTGTGGGGTCAGGGAGCACCCCAGGGGAGCAGGCAGTGGGGAGCACCCCAGGGGAGCAGGCAGTGGGGGGAGGGGTGGGGAGCACCCCAGGGGAACAGGCAGTGGGGGAGGGGCGGAGAGCACCCCAGGGGAACAGGCAGTGCGGAAAGGGAGGCTGCCAACCATAGCCGGGGGCTCTGGGGGAGCTTGCAGGACAGTGGCACTTTGCATGCGGCTGGGGGCACTGGCTGGACCCCCCCATGTTAGTTGGGTTTCCTCCCTGGTTCCTCATGTCCCGCATCCAAGGTGGCCAGGGGAGTGGCCCAGCGCAGCGCAGGGCTGGGAGCTTTGGGGGGCGGATTGGGGGAGATTCCAGCCCTCGCCGTGGGGCTGGGTGAGGAACCAGGGAGCCAGCAAAGCTTAGGGGGATCCGGACATTTCCACGTGGGGCCTGGCTCCAGCTGGGGGGCTGACGGCTGGGCCTGGCAGGCCGGCCACCAGCCACTCACATGGGGACATGCACTGACACCGTCACCCCCACTTGTGACCCCCCAGGCACCTCACCCCGCCCCCCACCCAGCCTGCAACGGGACTGTGGTCACCATGTAGGTGCCGCTCGCCTCAGCCCACCTGCCCGGGGGTGGCTTCACACGTGGGTTTCCACCGTGCAGGGGAAAGTTCACACGTGAGTTTTAACAGGAAAGCCAGGGCAGGGCGCACACACACACCACCGGCCTTCCGGACCCCCCCCCTCCCCCCCGCAGCCAGAACAGAGTCCACTAGCCACTCACATAGCCCCGGGCACGGCAGCTGGCGTGGTGATCTCCCCTCTCTCTGCCTCAGTTTCCTCCTGCTTGCCCTGAAGCCAGTCCCCTTGGACCCCCTCCCGCTGCCTCGCTCACGGGCCCAAGGGGGGATGGCAGGAGGCGGGAGCAGGGCAGAGCTGACAGGGTTAATCTTCATCCCGGGAGCCTATTGGCCAAGAGGCAGACGGGCCGTGACATCATCATCAGGGCTATGATATCACCCCCGCCCATGACATCAGAGCAGGAGCCCCTCCCTTTCTCTCAGCTGTTAGCTCGCCCTGCTGCCCCTTGGCGCTCCTAGGATGGGCTGGCGTTAGCTGGGCCTGGGGATCCCAGAGCCCGGTGCCCATGCCTGGCATGGGGGTCGCTCCGAGAGCTCTGGGGATCATGGCACGGGCGTCGCGGGAGGAGGGACCCCCCCGTGGGCAGATTGCCCCCCCCCCGGGAGCTCAGGTTGTTTCTTCCAGATGCCCTCCCCGCACATGGGCTTTGGGGAATGCCTCCCCCCCAGCAGAACCCCTCACTTGGACTGCTTTGCCCCCTGGCCCCGGACACCTGGGTTCTAACCCTCCCTCTGCCACTGGCTCCCTGTGTGAACCTGGGCGTGTGGCTTGGTTCCCCCACCGGTAGGATGGGGTGATGCTCTCAGGACACGGCAGGCACAGGTTGGGGGCTCTGAGATCTCCCATTACTGGGACTTTCCAGCCCGGAGCAGGGCCAGGAAGCCGGCCCAGCGAGGGATCCCTCCAGTCCCCCCCACCCCACCCTGCTGCCCCAGGGACAGCCCCCCTCCCCACGCTGCACTGAGGGCAGTTCTAGACGGAGTGTCCGGCGTGGGGGGGGGGGTTAGAGTGGGGAGAGTCCAGCTGCCGCTTTGAGAGTGGGAAGTGGGGGTGAGTGGGGTGAAAATCGCGCACCAGGGACATGAGTCACCAGTGGGCGCTTCTCTGTGTCAGCAACACTCCACCCGTCCAGCAGCATCGTCCTGGCATGGACTAAGGGGGGGCTGCAGGTCGGGAGTGAGGGGCACCGGCAGAGCCGGGGGGAGCCCAGGGGTGGGATAACAGGGGCTGCGGGTCGGGAGTGAGGGGCACCGGCAGAGCTGGGGGGAGCCCAGGGCTGGGATAACAGGGGCTGCGGGTCGGGAGTGAGGGGCACCGGCAGAGCTGGGGGGAGCCCAGG